AAATGAGAAGAATTAGCAAGGAATTAAGTAAATAGGCTTGCAGGGTACACTCTAAATTTTATAGTAGTGCACGAAGTATGATCATCGTAACATTTCATGATCTATCAATTAAAGGTGACACTGAAATGTAATATCAGTTGAGAAATCAAGGGAGATATTGAAAGTTGGAAAGTGTATTAGATGCGTGGGAGCTAACTGAAATAGGATTGGATCAATGTATATTGATTCACGTATCAGACTAAATATTGTATTTTGATAGTTTAGTGAACATACAGGCAAATCTTCTATTGATTTTGATAGACTGTCAGTTTAGTTGTTCAATGTAATTTTAGAAATTAATTAACTTTAATGCTTCTGATACTAAAAGCCCCTTCTTAAAACTAAATTTGTAAAATGTTGGAAACAATTGTTAGAAGTCAAAGATTTAATAAGCCATATTTTTTTATCGATACAATGAGGTCAAAAACAGGACTCTGCAATTGTATAGGTATAATTATTTTTGTGAGATTGAAAAGTTTCATATCAAATTCCTCATCCCCAAAGTACATGGTTTGAAGTGATCTTTTAACATCTTCCCATAAACGAAATACGGCTAGTTCAGTATTTGTAACAAAGCTGAGAAAACTAGAAGGGAAACCATCCCAGAAATAGACATCAGGTGCTAGCTATCTCATTTGCTATTATTTGAGGCAGACATGTCACTACATCTGTATCCTCATTTGTCCATTTATATGGTGATCTTTTTGCCCTATCATATATGGTTCTTTGTAGACTAGTTACGATTAATGGAAGATAATTCCTTTACAGTAAAACCTGTATAAAATGAACACCAAAAGAGTCACATAAAGTGTTCACTACAGGTAGGTGTTCACTACAGAGAGGAAAGCTTATATAGTAATGTGTTGTATAGTGGTGTTCCCTAAACAAAGGTGTTCACTATAGTAAGGTGTTCACTAGGACAGGTTTTACTAATTTTGTTTTTTTGTCAAGTTACAGTTTCTGTCTCAAATAAAATATCAAGGTGACATCTTTCATTGCAAAGGAAATATTTCATTTTTTATGAAATGAGCTATGGGTATTAGTACTATATCTTTTTCTATTTATTGCCAACATACCCTATGGTCTTCACTCGGTTCCTTTTCCATCCAACCCTACTCTCTGTTCTTCTTAATTTTCAATGCCTCTTAGTGTAAAGTGATACACATTTCAGGGTCTTATCCACTGGCATGAATACATAAAACTCCGATGAAGGCCAATTGAAGGAGTTTTAAAAATGTTGAATAGATGGCTCTCACTTCAAAGTTTTTACATTTAAACATATAAAATTAGTAGTATTTGGATAAAAGTATCTGTAAACCTATTGATGTTAGAGCTATCTATTGGCGATTTGGGTTTTTAAAAGCAAGAAGTGTTATTGCTCTGACAAATGACCTAAACAGCCCACCATGCACTCTAGAGTTTGGAGATAAATCTAAAACCCCAGTTAGAGATGTTTTCCTGACCACCTCAATCTGATAGAAATACAAAGATGGAAATAAGTAGAATGTTCTACTTCGTAAAACCTGTCTTAGTGAACACCTCTCTCTAGTGAACACCCTTCTTCTGCTTGTACTCTTCTGACTTCTGTATAAATCACCCTCTCTGTAGTGAAAACCGACCAACACTGAACATTTTTCTCGACAAAAATGTTCACAGGTTTTACTGTATTGCAAGAGGAATTGTAATCACTTTAACATCATCACACGCAACAGTGACTTCTTTAGTTGAGAGAGAATACATTCAGAGTGTACTAATAGGAGAGAAATTAAATCTGCATTATTTCACCCATTTTTTACAATTAGTTTTTTGATTTGGATTATCAATGTTTCTTACATCTGTAATTAAAAATCCATCAAAAATGACAGTTTATTTAGACAAATTATGTAATAACTGAGTAATAACTAATATTGAAGCTATAGTTCGGTATCATTCTCATATCTTTTAGTTGTGTCTAATGAATAAAAGGATATTACAGAAAAATAGGAAAATGAACATATAGTATTTTTATAAACCTTACATTTTATTGCAGTTTATTTTCCAAACAATAGACATGAACATATTACTAATATGAACATATCCCTAATCTGAACATATACCTAATCTGAATATATCTTTAATCTGAACATATCCCTAATCTGAACGTATCCCTATCTGAACATATCCCTAATCTGAACTAAATATCAAAAGTTATTGAAAAAAAAACTGTGATTATTTTTCATATATATGGACAGGGTGGGCCAAAAAATGCCACTTTTTTTTCAAAACGTATAACCTTTTTAATTTTTGATATTAAATCATAATTTGCATACCAAATGAAACTTGAGGTTGTTATCTTGTCATGGATCATAAATTATACAGTTTTACTTGAATAAAATATGTCACCAGCATCTCACTTAAACATGTGGTTTTCATGAGAAATAAGCATAATTTGCAAAACGATCCTGAACTGATACGGCCTGATGATCGCCAAGCTAATAGCCCTGATGCAAACCCCAGTGAGTATAGGGTATGGGAAGGTCTCCAGGAGATTGTATGAAGGCACCCAATCTAGAAAATTGCTCAGTTAAAGCTGGGAATTTAGACAGGTTGGAAAAAACTTAGCTAACATTTCATTGATACTGCAATATCAGCAAGGCAACTAAATCTAAAATATATCATCAATTAGGGTGGCGGACCAATTGAACTCACCTTTTAGATCAAATGTAATCCAAGTTGAATGACTTGTTACATTATATTATTGCTAAGAACCCTTGGCACTATATAACTGCAAAATTTGAGGTATGTAGGTTGGAAAATAAAAAAGTTGTAGTGTCTTGAAAAAAGTGGCGTTTTTTTGGCCCACCCTGTATAATCTTTATGTGGCTATTAAAGATAGGGGAGAGCAAACAATAAATCTATATATATCATGTTTTGTAAATCATGAATCAGAACTGTTCATGTTACTCTACCAAAACTGAGTTTGATTCTGTTTTCAGTTATTTAATAAAAAAAATTATGACAGTGTTAAGAAATAAAGTCACGATTATACCAAAATTAACATCTATTTTTGTTTGTTTGTAAACATAAATTGTCAACCATAAGTGGTACAATTTGTACTAATCATTCGATGTAGAAGAATATCAATATTCTGTCCCCTTGACTTGTTAAGGAACTTAGGGATTTATCATCAGAACCAAGCAATTTGTCTCTAGATTTGAAATTGGACATTTTTGATTAATAGTAACCACTTGTTCCCGCAACTTGTTAATTAGTTTCAGAATCATGTAGCATGCAATCTCGTGAAGATTATATATATGGAATGTGCAATATCACAAAGAGGAAATATTGCTAGTGGCCTAAAGATTCATTATTTTTCAAAATGGCAGGATTACGACTTTTAATATTTATCCTCGACTGTTTAAAAAGTGACATAATTTAGGATTTCGATGTGATTTATTTGCGTTTGAATTTTAAGTTTTTATTATTACATGAAAATGAAGTTCACGTTGTTCATGAGTGAATTAAAGCAAAGGATTTATACAGTAATGAATGGAATATGTTTTGATACATTCTATAAGGGTTGAGGTGCTTCTGTCTTTTAGTTTATATCTTGAGCTAATATTGCAGATGTTTTTTGCCGCGCAACATTTCATTTAAGAGAGTAGAAATGATATGGGTCACATTAACCTCTAAAAGAAAGGATGTATTGCTCTTTACATAATGCAAAAATTGAGTAGCTAGCAAAAACAAAGCATGGAGTGAATACCTGGATTATAAGCAATGATATCGGTAGTTAACAATGCTGATGGAAAGACCTGATATCTCAGCTGATATAGCAAATGATATCAATGGAGGATGTCATGAAAGATGCATACATTAAGTCAGGTGATATTGATATATGATATATTATCATATTATATGTATTATTAATATATATTATATGATAATGGCTTTGGATTGTAACTTAGCCAAAAGATAGATGTCGCTCTATCATGTTTACAACATCACATGTAAAAGTGAAATTCAACATGTATCTGAATGCTGGTAGAATGAAAACCGAAGATAGATGTAATATATTCATCAAGTTACTGTATTATATGGAGTTTGATTTCGATTTTTGTATCTATTCTTTATTTACATTCTTCTATGTACATGCATGTGTCTTAATTTTTGTGCATGGAAATATTTAGCTTAATTATGATTTTTATTTTTATTTCAGGAAGCTATTCATTTTTATGTAGTTTAATGTAAATAAATATAAGATAATTTAATAGATTAAATTTTGTAATTTTTGTTTTCAAACTTACTAGATATTATTTACATTGAACAGTTTAAATAAATTCATTTGCTATATTGAGAACACATTGTGGCTTTAAAAGTAAACGACTTATTTTGATGAACCTTGCACAACATGTTGATAATCTTATAAAGGCAAGCAGATTTCTTATGTGACCGCCATTGTTTTTTTTGTAACTAGTCCCCAGGGGATGTCTTTCAACCAGATTCTGAATCTAAAAAATGAAATTTCCGAACTGACTAAAATGATGATGCTTTTTCAATCATTACTTGGAAAGAGCAATAAAAAATACCAAACAATTACAAATCCCAAAATAAAAGATTTTTAACTAATTCTAACATGTTTAATATGAAATGTCCTGATTTCTATATCTCATTGTTTTTATATTCATAACTTTCCAATTCCCGACACTAAATCAATGTGACGTTAATGGAAGTTGTTCTACATCAAGATATATACTGTATATTTCATTAACATATAATGTTTTTCATTTTATCTAATTAGGACATCTAAAAACAATGTAATGAGTGTTATTTCGATGGAATCCCCCAAATGGGAATTCTGCAGATTTAATGGGTTGAAATGTTGTGCAGGGTTCATATATGAATTTATGATTATGATTTAATTCTACTAAGTTAGCATGAGTATTGCATGGTCTAACAGTCTGGCATGCTTGTCCCTTTAGGTTACAGTTCAGATGATGATTACGATGACTACGACCAAGATCGTCGACACCATTTTGCAAAATCTCGCAAACAACACGGCTCTAAATATTCCTCCATACCAAATAATGAAGATGCGCATGAAACGGAACAGTTTTATCAACGTAATAAAAAACCAAGTACTCGGACACATAGCAATGAGCATAAAATGACATCATATTCAGACTCAAACTCTTACGTATCAGATTCAAGGAATAATGGAAATGCTTATAATGATGTGCAAGAAGACCATACTGTAATGTCGGCTTATGATCCTACGCGATATACAGAGGAACAATATAAACGACGTAGCTTTACGAGTGACGAGGATGACATACGTGACGAAACGCAGGCTGTTTATATTAGGGAGCCTCGAGAGGGAGGTAATATAACTTATTTTATTTCCTTTATATTTATTTATAGTAACTATATGAATTTGTATGCTGTATGTTATTATTACGCTTGAAGGAATATTATAGCATTGATTTAGCATTCTGTGTATTTTGAGATATACACTGTAATATAATTAGGAATTATCTATCGCAAATTGCTTAAGGTATTATGCTGTGTTCAGATTTTGAAATTCGTTATTTATTTTATTCCATTCAAGATTTATAATTCTGTTTATTTCATTTCATTTTGATTTATGGAAATTATATCATTAACCCAGAATTATTTAAATATTTGATTACTATTCTACAGAGTGATAACAGTGCACCTTTAGCATTTTGATCAGTAGAGATTTGGAATGTATTTTGTTTGATAGATGTCACTTTTGTATTGTGCTTAATATCCCTGCATATAACCCATTCAATCATTTGCTATTTGCTATTCGAACATGACTGTATTCACGCCTTCTAAACTGTAATCAAAGTCAATGCTTCAGCTGGGTTATATTCGAGATTAATAACCCAGTTTAATACGTGTAATGTGTGACGTCATAACGGTGGGTCGTAGTAATGGCGGACCATGATGAATATTCGAAACAATTTGGTGAGTTTTCATGTTCGAATCGTAATATAGACCTCAGAGCAGGGTTACTAGTTTCGAATAACACGCCGCTGGTCTCGGCACAAAAGCTTTCGAACCCCTCACTCCCTTCGGTCGTTCGGGGTACAGAAAACGTTTGTGCCGAGACCAGCTGGGTGTTATTCGAAACTAGAAACCCTGCTCTTTGGTCTATATTTCTTAAATACAATGCATTTTTACCCCCTCCCTCTTGCATATTGATTAACAGTATCCACCCATTAGCCATACATGGATTATTTAGTTTTATGCATGTTTTGATTTTATTAAATGCATTATATTTCAGCCTATGCTTAAACTATGTTCTCCATATGAATTATTTTCTTACTGTAAATGAAAATTCATGATGTCCTTTCTCAACAATAAATAGATATTTTAGAAAAGAGAAAGAACTAGAAATATGTCAACATTGACAATATTAATGAATGCATGTAAATTAGGCAATTCATTGTCCTTCATTGTCTGACTAGCTACACTGTATCCCCAAAATTACAATACATTAAAGCATAAAGGGGAATATAAGAAAAGGGATCAAAGTCTTATGTAAAACTGATTTGTAATTTATCAGTAATTGGCCATTGTAATGGATAGATCTAAAGGATTCACTTTGTAAATTAAGAAAAGGGTCACCTTGTTACCTAAAGTTGAGTCTTCTTGGTCCTCACCGTTTGACTATTTGGTTTACTATTATAAAAAAATTATGTTATTATTAGGACTTGATGGTCATGTACAAGATATGCAATATACAATTGAGATGTTATACAGAATTTTTGACAAAATTGCTAATTGAATAACAGGAGATCGCATAGCAACAAATTATTCCACACTAAAGAATATTTTATAAATAATCTTCAACACAAAATAGTCTTCAGCTGAAAAATCCTCCACATAAAATAATCTTCAACTATATGTGACGAAATCTTCTATTCAAAAAATCATTAACACAAAAATCCTTCACACGAAATCTTTCACGCAAAAGATCCACTCACAAAAGAATCTTTCAAAAAGATTTCTCCACACTTAAAATCGTCAACAAAAAATCTTCAGAAAGATCCTCTGACAAAACAATTTTTCAAAAAAGAATCCTCCACACAAAAGAAGCCTCCACAAAGATGTCTCCATAAATAATTCTTTACAAAAAAATCCTTCACATTAAGTATACTCCAAAAGAATATTTCATACAAAAGTTCCTCTCACAAAATAATCTTTTAAAAATTCTAAAGAATCCTCTACAAGAAATTCTACACACAAAAGTATCCTTCACAAAAGGAACTGTAAAAGGAACCCTCAGGAGAGCACTGCATGGCAACAGGTAAGATTGTATTGGAAGAAGGTCAAGTAATAGAGCAGGCCATTAAAACATTTATCAACAAACTGTGCAGTTGTGTTAAGATTAACGAGACAAGTCATTTGTGGAGTAATAGCGATAAAACCTCCTATAAATGTAATTAATGTTAACTTTTATGTATTGATCATTGCGTCAGAGGATGTAATTCACTCTCTGTTCTCTTAAGAAATAAAAGTAGCTACATGACAGTTTTCAAAGCATCACTGAATTTGTATTTTTATTGGATCTGATATCTTTTACATTATAAAATAGAGACACAATGCTCTCTCATGCATCATTCAAAATCCCCAGGAAATAAAAAGCATTGACCTTTTCTTTTTCATTTAACATTGTGCTATCTTGAGGCGAGATAAAGATAAAGAACACTCTACCATGCATCAATCAGAATTCCTGAGCAATAGAAAAGGTATCCAAGACATAGATGGTGTTAGGCATATTGTATGGTTTATTACAATAACCTAATGAAGAATGACATTAAGGAAATAGAGGCTGTCATCCTAATAGCAGATAGAGAGAATCTGATCCTGAAAAAATAATAGTAATCCAATGTCAATATTGAAAGCTGTGATTTGCGGCTGATTACGCATTTAGCAAAGTGATAAGAATAGGAAATGATCATTATAAATGGGTTATAATAAGCATTTTGTGTAATAAAATACACCTTCTATAGCCACATTGTAACGTATCACCCATGAGTTATTGTCATGGGAGTTTGTGCTACGAAGGTTTATGAAAGATTCATCAAAGTTGGATGTTTACAATTGTGCATGAATATTCTGTTTTGAATATATTAATCAAAAAGAGCATGCAATGTGATCTTCAGTATACTATATCACTGAAGGTCAAGTTGAAATCATTGTGATCTTTGACAATTCAAATAAATCCTTCTCATTTCACATTTTTCATATTGGCAAAAGTATTTTTCATAAAATTGTGTACTTAAAACGAAATAAAAATCAGAATATCTGAAATGATTAGAGGTGACAGATATCATGTAATATTAACACATTATGTGTGAATACAATCTCCAAGTTAAAGTGACCAATTTCCCTGCATCAGGAAAAACAAGAATAGAATATTCTATGCATTTTTTATCTCTGATTTGACCTTTATATCAATCTCCCTGTGTGAGGACCATGATAACGTCTTAACTGTCAATAGCTTACTACATAACAATCAACTTAGCTCTAATCAGTCTGATGCAGGCCTTCTTTACACACTTGTTATAGATTTTTTAATAGCACTACCCCGCCTTTGTAGCCTTGTCAATTTGTGAAATTACATTGCATTGAGTTTGAGATTTTCATGTGTATGACATCATGTTAGATCATCACGTACAGCTAGTTCATGTCCAAACTCCTCTTTGTTTCATGCAAGATGCAAAACTGTCCAGAAGAAAGATGTAGGGTGTAGTAAATATGTAGTTCATATAAAAGGTTCATAAAATATTTTTGTTTAACAAGATCATAACAGGATTCATTTATGGTATGAATTCCTACCAAATCCGCTATGCATATAGTGTGTTGATTGAATGATGACCATTCCTATGCTTGTTTGTATGTCATGTCATGTCATGGCAAAATATATGGTCAAAATGTCTCTATATATGCCATGTTTAATCTGCTCTCAAATTTGAAATATAGAGATCAGAGGAGATGGGGATTAACTGCATTAAGGATAATCCTGGTTGTTTGAAATGAAATTTCCTTGTGATAAAACTTGAGGACAAACAATTAGTGCAAGGGGTAATATTTCAACAATACAAAAAGCGCAAATTGAATCAGATTGTATCTATCAACTGATACATTTAAATCTGTGATTATACAGTGCTTCTCAAAGTGTAATTATATGCATTTTCATTTAGCCCACTCGTTCATTAGCATTTTAGTCATGAGCTGTAATATGTGAGAAAATGATACTATCCTTGGACTGTTACATGAATAAACACAAGGAACTCACTTGTCTTGAACTCATGACCTCAGGGTTATAGCAACAGTGCTTAGCTTAGCTCTAAAACACTTGGCCAACTGGACAACCTCATATTATTTAAAAATATGAAAGGAATATTGCAACATAGGACGATAAAAATGGTTAAAATACCTTTTTGTGGTTTCCTGAATTTATTTTGGGCCTATCACCTTCTCCAACGAACCTATTTTGTGTTAATACGTGGATATAATCTGAACGGTCATCAAAAAATCAACAAACTTTTTCCAAGAACTTTTTCAGCTCATCTTAATTGTGCTTTTATTTGGATAATTTAACTGGAAGTGAATTCTCGAGAGTCAAGTTATTTTATGGTGATAATGTTCTTTTTATGAAGCGGGAAGAATTTATAGATCAAAAGTATGTTATTTTGCCCAATATCTGATTAATTAAGGTACATATATTTGTTTTGATTGTTTTACTACAAAATATGTATTTTGATTTGATCTTGTCCCAGAAGCAATATTTTGTCATTTCTATGGCCCAGAATTCCTTTAAAGCTTATAAGATCTTATTAATCTCTTGTGGTAGTTTTAATATGATATAGTCAACATCTTACAGGCATGCAATATCATGATGTTTTGAGTACATATTCTGAACAGATAGTCTAATACAAAATTAAGTCTGAACACATTCTATCATCCCATTTGTAACTGTCATTATGAGAGTGTAAATATACTGTAGTAGCTGTTTTGCGTGACTGTTTTTTCTACTTAGCTCAACACTAAAACCACTATGATTTTGCATTACTCTATATATTTTGCAAAAATGTGTTTTAATTCATTGTAGATACCTGTTTCTAGATATAACAATACCACATTGATCAATAGTTCAGCCTCGAATAATTGGGAAATTATTTTTGTGTGAATGACATTGAGTGTAAGTAGATTTTGGTACTAGCCTCTTAACAGTTTCCTTTAAACCACTCATGGGACCTCACTTTCCTTTTCATACCCCTCTTGGGACCTTCTGATGCTAACAAATGAGGCTTACATTGCTCCAAAGCTGACTTGTGTGTCTATT